CACAGCGGGAGGAGCTGCAGGTGGGCAGAGCTGCGTGTCTCCGTCCTGTCAGATTAGACTTCACTCGCGTTTATGTCCATATCGAGAGAAAGATAAATAATCTGAATTCAGTGTGCAGTTTACTTTGACGTGGGGGTGAGCAGCAGAGGTGGGGAGAGGCGGGGCTATTGCGTCATCATTATCAGAAAATGTTCGTATAAGGTGCACACACGGAGCCGTTGGACCCCCCAGAGCGTTGCGTATGCCGTTCTATCCACCTTGGGACCCGTTATCGTTTCCGCAGTTGTTTACTGTCATTTTCGGTCGTCCTCGTGTGGCAGAACGGTCTATATGACACTAAACAGTAACGCAAACGACCGTTTTCGTCCTCGTGGGGCCGGGGCCTCAGGATTTCAGTTATACGTCTCATCATCTTCCTGTCTGTCTATTCATGTTCTTACCAGTTCCACCAAAAATGTGCATGTCAATCTGCTCCAGCAGACACATCACAAACGTGTTGACCTGAGGCAGCAACCCAAACAGGAAAATGACCGGGAAACACAAGGCAAACACTGTAGGACAAAGAAAGGAACACATTAAAAAAGATAAGGAGAAAAAGGTTAAGGTGCTGAAGCGAACCCAGAAAACTACTATTCTATAATTGTAAAGGTTTCTATAAGGCGGTGTCAATGGGTGATGGGCAATGAATTTTCTCCTGTAGGTATTGTCCCCAGTACATGACCGGCGTTACATGTATGATATGTGTGTAATGTGTATTTGTAAAGGGCTTTGAGCATCTGGAAAAGCGCTATAATAAATGTATTATTATTATCCATGCATCAATGGCTAATCTCCAATCAAAGTGCTACTCCAAACATCAAATATAGACATTTTCAAGATGTTAGTCTTACGAAGTATTCATGTTTGAAAACTAACCAATGAGCATGTCCCTGATGCAGAGCAGGAAGTGTGCAGAGAAGAAGGTGACTCCGTAGAGAGAGAAGGGTTGCAGGTTGCCAAAGCGCCCTGATTGGTCAAAGATCCAGATCAGCACACAGCACAGGCAGAAGTAGACCGGCCGACTGTACACGATGATCCAGTTATGGCCCTGTCAAACATAAGATAACGAGGTGAGTCACAAACACACTGCAACAGGAAGAGGACATTTCTTGATTAGTTTGTTCTTTATGTACATTCTAGCAGATACAAAAAGGTGTAACCAATACTCACATGCATGGGAGAAGCTGCATCTGGTTGTACGCTCTGGAACAAAGAGGCAGAGAGATGAAGCTTTACAGATTTCACATGTTGCATTACAGAAAACAACAGAAGCAAAAATAAAAAAGGTGGAGACAATCATATAACGGGTTTATTGTATAGCGTACAGCAGGGCTATTCAAATCCGGCCCGGGGTGATATTTTCTGGCCCTTTGAGTATAATGTTAAAAAGTAATCAAATTATATTTTTTTAAAGGTTTCTTTTTGTGCCAGAGTGCCTTTATTCCAGAGAGGGTGTTACATTGAGAGATAGAGGGAAGTCAATGCCTGAAAACTTTGGCGGGCTCGGGTTTCGAACCCACCTACTAGCTACTTTAGTGACAAACTGTCATTTATTGCATCTCTGCGTGAATGATTAGATAATTTCACCTAAATGAAATCAAATGAAATGATGTTGATGGTTAAATGAGCTTCACATGTAGGCCTACTGAGTTCTGAACTTGCCATTTAGATCGCTAAAGGCCTTGGGGCTATGTTGTTTGATTGAATTAAACACAATATATGCACTCCACTATGCTGTTGTAGTATTTACTAGATCTGAAGCTCTTAATATGATTGCTCATATTTCAAGCCATCTTTTTCCCGGCCCCTTGCTTTGGATCATTTTCATCAACCGGCCCCATTCCAAACTAATTGAATAGCCCTGGTGTACAGTATTAAAACAAAATGTGGCTTAATTACTGTATGGAAAAGATCAAATGATTTTATTGTTGAAAGATGGGTAGACATCGAATTGCTCAAACCTATTGGAGCAATCGTTTACATGTTGTGGCTACTATAAATAATCTTATGAATGAAGTAACACCACATTTGTTTGTCAATTATCTTTGCAGCCATATAGTTGGACTACATTACATTACACGTCACTTGTTAGACGGTTTAATCCAAAGCGACTTACATACTCAATACTGTGGACAATCCCCACAGGAGCAATTTGGGGTGAAGTGTCTCAGGGACACAACGACATGCTGACTGCAGTGGGGTTTGAACCTGTGACCCCCTGATCCCAACACCAACGCACAACCCACTGCACCACACGCCACGACTACAAACCTATTGTCACGGTCAAAGGACGCAAACCCAATTTAAAAAGGGTCTGTGTTTTATTTAGGGTCTTTGTAGAGTTGTTTGTAGATCAACATTGTAATCAGTAGTAAAGAAACCCAGGGGACAAAAGAAGCATCCGGAAAAGTAATTGGATGAGTTAAAGAAAAGCCAGAAACAATGTACCTTCAGTAAAGAGTACTGGCAGCTGGCAATGACTAGGCAGAACTGGAAGACCCAGATGTCCCTGAAAAAGCCCTGGAACAACAGTAGGAACCCTAAGAAGGCCACCAGACTGGCCAGCACCACAGCAAACACGTTCTCCGCCACACGCCGGTTCCTGGGAAGAGAATGCAAAGAAATCAATAAGCTTTGACAACGCTATTTCACAGCTATCTAGATTTAGAAAATATCACAGTATTAGATCAAGCAAGTTAACAACTGGACATGAAACACTTCTTGAATAATATAAGCTTAAGAGCGAGAGACCAAACTAAATGTCATCTCTCCTCCACTCCAACAGTCTTGCGTACCTGTCCAACAACGCCAGGAGAGCTAATCGGTCGTATCGAACCCTCAGCCACTTTCTGGGCAGCACCCAGAAGCGATAGTATTGTTTGGGTTTGGCTTTCTCCTCAATCATTAGAGTGTTTTCCTGGGACTCTTGTAGGGACTCATGATCCAGATCAAACTAGTGATGAGGTGAGACATTAGTGAACAACAAGGAACATCTGGGATGGTTTGCTCTGATGTAGAGAGTCCTGACTTATTCACATGACAATTTTTCCATTGAATAATCTGCTGCATGAAACATTTATAGACTGCTAACCTCAGGCATTTCCAGAGGCACCCTGCGCACCTGCATGCCCTGTAACACCACAGGTCTGGGCTGGAGCATGGACAGGGCTGGAGCCCCTTCCTGGACCTCAGTGGAGGTGAAGCTTGACGACTGGGACTGTCTCTCCCTCTCTCTCTCCCTCTCCCTCTCCCTGCAATATTAAGGCATTCATTATGGCTTTTATTCACAATTAGTTTTAAAGCAAATAGAGTGCCGCAGTGACGCGTCCTAAAACCAGGAAGTAAGTTAGCATTTTACCACTTCCAGTTCCTTCGCCAAAACGCAGTGCAATTTCTCCATAGGATTTAGGAAAATAGCTGGAAATAAGGTCTGTGGTTGAAACACATTGAAGAGACGGATCACGTTTTGTTCTACGACATTAAATCCATCAGCAGTGACCCCACTGGTGATTTCTGAAGAGTTTACGTGTCTGAAAAACGATGGTTGTTAACAAGTGGCTGAATAGGACTACAGAAGTTGTCGAGGACGTTGTACGTCATTACACCGAACACGTGAACACTCACGCTAAGTTTTTTTCCCTGTTCTGCTTGAAAGCAAGTACCTGCCTCCTGCAAACTGTTAAAACAAACGCTTCAACTTGTACCATTTAGAATCTGTAGTTTTGAATATGGATCTTAAGTTGGCGTGACGTTGAAGCAGCGACCATGCTGTAGTTCCTTTATAGCATAACGTTAGCATTTTGCTTCTGGCGACTAGATTTATGATTCGAAAATGATAAAAGTAGGGTAGACATGTGGAGATTATCCGGCTGAACAAAACGTGATCCGTCTCTTAAATGTGTCTCAACCACAGACCTTATTTCCAGCTATTTTCCAAAACCCTATGGAGAAATTGCATTGCTTTTTTGTCGAAGGAACCGGAAGGAGATTACTTCCGGGTTTTAGGACGCGTCACTGTGGCACTCTATAGAAGGCAAAACTAGTAATAACATAATAACTTACTGGACTGGGTCCTCATAACCACCACCAGCTGGTCCAAATGTGTAGGACCTCTTCACTCCTGTTACAAAAAAAGACAGAAAGCTGTAATTTTCCAAAGACACATTCATAGCCGATACATTTGTCCAGATTTGAGAGAGTTCCCAATCTTCTCATTTTCCTATGACTCACCACCTTCGTCGTAGAAATAGTGCACGGCCCCCTCTGTTGTGTCGTCGAAGGTGGAGGCCTCATGGATGCCGCTGCGGGGCAGTAGGAGTGAGGAGGCGAACTGTAAGGCTGAGGGAAGAGTGCGGGTCCGCGAATGAGAGGAGGTCCGAGCCCGCTGGAGGTCCTGAAGGCTACAGGAACAAAAGCATGGGTTGAATATTCGTGTCTAACATTAAATTGAATACTTAATAAGTCTTGCCAAGTAGTTTAATTTAATATTTTAAAACCAAAACTTGTTGAGAATATTAATTTTATGACAAATTCCCCAAAATATTTCCCCTTAACACAGTAGTAAATTCAACTACGATTACATCAATCAGCTTTAATCTTGTAGATCGATTTGAAGACTGCAATGTGTAGGCAAGGCATCAGCTATAACCCTCACTTGTCCTTGACTCACCTGGGAGGGGATCCCATGGTGGAGGGGGGCGGTGTAGGGTTGCTCCCAGCATTGTGTCTCCTGCGGATGGCCTGGGTCCTCTTCACACTGCTGACTGATTCGTGTTTACCCCCATCCTCCGGACCCATGGCTGGAGAAGGGTTATCAGTTACATCAATGCAAAGGTTTATATGACAGTCAGGGTTCATACACTTTTTCACCAATGATTTTCAATGATTTTCAATGATTTTCCATGACCTTTACCTAATTTTCCATGACCACAAAAATAACTCTTTCTCAGCGGAACAAGAAAATAAGGTCTGCATATGAAACATGTTGTGCCTATCTAAAACAAATCAAATAGTAGGCTCACTAGCTCCTACAGGCTAAAGCAACTAAAATCTCACACCAGCAAAACACCTCAACAGTTAAATGGCATTTTACGTTTCATTACTATACGATACAGTATTTATTATCATTATAGTATTACTATTTCGGCGATTAGATAAAATATAAATTATATTTGATGCAACTTGCTACATTTCCATTATTTTTCCAAAACTTCGGGAAAAATATTGTTTTCCATAACTTTTCCAGGGCCTGGAATTTGCATTTTGAATTTCCATGACTTTTCCAGGTTTCTAATGACCGTAAGAACCCTGTACAGTTTCAACGCACAGTTCACTAGATCATTAACACTGGAATCTACTTTTGCAATTGTAACATTTGTATTTTAAAAGTAGTTGTGTAAAACCTTTTCTAAGTAAACATATACTTCTGCGCCATGTATAGTGGTTCAGTAACCGCTGTATGGTTAGATGATAGCTTGAAGCATTTCATTACTAGCATTTCACTGGCTAGCAATAAATGCCTTAATACTAAAAATGGTTGAACATATTTTTATAATCTTGCAACACAATGTGATTTGTTTGACTTCTGTTTTTATCTTATTTACTTGCCCTTAGCCAATATATTTTATCATATGTCAGAAAATAAATATTTGAAGGTTTATCAAGATCTGGCATCTGATGCAAATAAGAAAACTGCACTACAGGAATACACTAGTGTTTTTGTTGTGTTTTGTCTTGTTTGTCCTTATGGAGTATAAATGGACGAGCATGTGTTGTGCCATCGTGTTTCAGAATAACAATAAATGATCCTTTGACACGGAAAACATCCCAGGATTCTACCTTCACGCTAGAGAACATAAGCACACAGTGTGGACAGTGATCATAAGGTCACAATCACTCACCTCCTCCCACAGCTCCCTCTTCTACCAGCTCTTCGGCCCTCCAGCCCATCTGGTTACCCGTCCAAGAGCCTCCGAGAGAATCTAGTCGATGATGATGGTGGTGATGGTGATGATGATGAGTTCCAGGAAAGCCGTCAGTATGGATGGCGTGGGCTTCCAGATCAGACTTAGAGATGGTGAGAGTGCGAGGTGCAGGGGTGGAGGGCATTGTAAGCAGAGTAGAAGGCAAAGCCACTGTGTTGTTCTGGCCTCCACCTGCCCCATCCATACTGAGCACCCTGGCATGAGTCTTAGCACTAGCAGTGCTAGAAGAGCGCTGAGCAGCACGAGAATGTGAGGGGCCAGCAGTTTCAGGTAAATCCCCGTCCCTTGGAGTGGGCAGTTGAGTAGCAGCAGGGGATGTAACGCCAGTGTTAGCGAGGTCCGGGGAGTAGCAGGAGGTAGAGGAACTTGAGTCGTCATCATCATCGTCGTCGTCATCGTCATCATCAGAGCTGTACCGGCGCTGAGAGCCCAGACTGGAACCAGCGCTCATGTCGCTGCCGTCGTCCTCGTCGCTGGAATCCTCAAACAAACTTTCACTGTAAGCCTTGGCCCCCAGTCGGCTGCGCACTGGGATGTAATCTCTGTGTTGACTATGATTGTGGTGACGCCTGTAAGAGCCGCAGTCGAAACTACTACTTCCTGCTCCGGCTCGCCTGCGTGGAGCTTTCCTTCGGCCAGGCCTGTGCCCCACACTACTGCCGCTGGCCCGCAGCAGCTTCAAGTCTTTGGGGCGCACAACCTGCTGGGCTTGCAGAGCAGACTGGTCCGACAGTAAAAAGGGGGTCGAGGATATGGGCAGAGCAGGCTCAGAACAAACTAGACCCAGGGCCAGCCCTGAGGGCACTGAATTGGCCTGCCGAGGAGGGGGAAGAGGAGGAACAGTGACATTTCTGTCTAAATCACAAACCTCTGAGTGGCCACTACTCGAAGGGGAAGAGTTCTGGAGAGGCCGGTGGTGAGCAATATCACAGGGTACTGGGGACAAATCCTCTCCTTCAACAAGCGTCCTGTCTAGCCCCTGGCTGTGGGAGAATTCTTTGGAAGGCGAGCGCAGCAGCACACTATCAGACAGGTTATCAGTATCACTGCCACCCTGTCCTCCTGGATCGTCTGAGGGTTTGGGGAATTTGGAGCCTGTTGCTGGTGCTGAGGCATGTCCGTTTGCAGGCCGGCTGAATGAAGGACTTTCCAGCTGAGTGGAATCAGTCTTTTCACTGCGGTAACTGCTAACCGTGCTTAGCGTCTCTCGATCTGTGGTGGCTCCGCCCGCACTGAAACAGCTGTCTGTGGACCCGGCAGCCAGAGCCACTCCACTGCGGCTGCCCGGGTGCTCGGTGCCGGGTGCAAACGCCACGGGGTCAAGGCCCAAACCCAGGAGATTTTCACTCAGCTCCTCACTTAAGCTGCTCTTTATGAGGGGGCTGAGGGGAGTATGCCCCAGGCTCTCAGATTCAGCAGAGGGCCCGAGGGGAGAATAAGCCCCCAACCCATTGTCCTCAGGACTCTGTAAAGACAGTTGTTCTGGTAACTCCTTCAGTTCCTGCAACTGTTCTCTCTCGCCTCCATCTTCTTGACTGGAGGGTGAAGGGGGGATAGACAGGCAGACTCCAGGTTCAAAGCCACCGGACACTCCCATGAGTCCGGGGAAATCTCCTCCAAGAGCAGCAGCAATGCAGGACTGAACCACACTGGGGGTCCCTGTACAGTAAAACAGATACAAATCAGATTCACGTGCACTAACAAAGACCAACAACTGCTTTTTGTGTTGTTTTCCTATACACTTGCATGCATGCTAGGGCTGTACCCGAATACCCGTTCGTTGGAGTACTATTCGGGTTTCAATTTCGTTATTCAGATATTCGTTTTTTTTTTTCCCCAAATTGAATTTATTTAAATCTCCAATATCAACGTAAGAGCGTGTGTCTCTTCGGGGGGTGCTAACACTTAACCATAAACGTTATCGGTTACTTTCTCCGTCTTTATATGTAGATATTACTTTTCTCACGTTGTTTCCATAGCAACAACAACTTCCTGTCAACTGTGATAACCTTCAAAATAAAATGCGATATCCTTTTCAAATTCAAAGAACACAAATTGGGTTATATTAACAAATAACAAAATGAATGCTGTGAATACACCGAAATACACGTGTTGAAGCGGTTCGCTGCTGATTACTACGCCCCCCCCCCGTGCGGGCCGAATATTCGCAGCTGATTACTACCGAATATCCGGAGCCCGAAAAATGGTATTCGGGACAGCCCTAATGCATGCACTACCATTTATACTGATGGACAGTAGAAGGAGCCATGCCTACAATGGGGTGTTTACAGAATGTGTATGCCAATAGCCTGATCTGCATGTGAGCGTGACGGGTTTCCATACAGGCAGGATCAGACCGTGTTGACTGTGTATGATGCTGGTTTCTGCTCCCTTAATATTGTAACTTACTAATGGTGTCCTGAGACCTCTGGCGTAAGATCTCCCGGTGAGCTGACGTAACAATCATATTATTGCTTCCTTGCTCCCGCATCAACTCTTTGATATCTGATGTAAAAGGAAAAAAGGTCAATCCAAAATAGTGCACATTCATTTATCACAGGTTAAACTCACATAGATCTGACGCTTAGGTTTACGTGTGTAAGCCTTAGGACATCATTAGATTCATTTAGATGCAGTAGGAAAACATAAGACCACATATATTTACCCTTAGTGCCCCCTGTATCCTCCAGCTGGGGTAAAAACTCCTGAATTTTAAGGACAATTTAAAAAACAAACAAAAATAACGGGTTAGTGAACTCAAATGAACTCATATTTACATATATCAATAAAGGACATGACAACAGTTCTGAATATATTTGCACAGCAGACTGGCAGGGGAAATGACTGCATTACTATTTGAGGCATAGTATATTTATGAAGTCAAAAAAAATAAGTACGTTCCAATTAGTAGGATTGGAGATATTATGGAAGGAGATAAATGAAGACTGTTTGCTGTTATAAAATATTGTGATCCTCACCGACACCTGGTTCAGTCCATACAGAGAGTGCTGGGAGCTACAGCGGACAGGGGGTGTCGAGTTGACCTTCCGAAACACAGTCATCTCCACACCAACATGACTATCCCTGTTACACATACAGACAATTGAAAGGATGTCAAAGCATTGGGATTGAATAAGTGTTCACGAAAATGAGTCAGAAAAATATCTTACCTGCGGTGATTCCCATCATGGGCACCTGAACCTTCATCTCCTTCTTCTGTCTTTGGCGCTTCTGCTGTGAGTGAGGCATGCTTCTTCTCTACAATCTCTCCAAGGTCGAACATAGTATGAAGCCTGAAGTTCACCACCTTAATGGCCGTGAAAAAGACTGCAAGTACAGCAGAGTACACGCCTGCCACCACCAAGCTAGGAGGAAGAGCCTGAGAGGGAGTGGAAAAGCAAAAGTAACAGACATTCATTTGACAGCAGCTGGCAAACAGTAAAGTCCACATTTATAAAAGAAAATGTCTATTGCTAATTTCAAATAGGAAGTTGGACAGCTTGATTATAATACCATGACACTTCTTAAGAAGTTAGAAATGAGTTGTTTAAATATTCAAACTTTAGATTATTTACCAATACAATTGAAAAGGTTATTAAGGTTATTTTGTTTTTAACCCTGTTGTAAAAAACGGTCCTACTTGTAAATATTTGGCCTTGCCTAATGGCCACTCCTAAGCAGCAACTATGCAACACAATATGTTAGGCCAATGTCAAATGGCACGCGGGCCCAGCAAAATGTGAGCGCGGAGCGCGTGGAATTTTTTAGTGAGGCTCTTGANTTATGTAAACAAGTATTTGCAAGGAATACCTTTATATGATCATTATAGTTGTCATATAGTATTTCATACCCGCTTTTCATTTATTCTCGTATTCTTTAATAACTATAATGATCATATAAAGGTATTCCTTGCAAATACTTGTTTACATAAATGGTGACCAAACCGTTTGAGATAACTTACACTAAAGTGAACTATCTAAACACTCAGAGAGTCCTTACCTCACTGAGCTGACGTTATACGATCCTCTCAGGCTGACAGGAGAGGACTCTCCTCCACCTTGGTGTAGAAACAGCTCTTTATGTCCGTTAGCATAGCTAGCTAACCAGATGCTAACAACAGCATTCCACGTTACCGCTCGCGCACTCACAAAATGCGCTCGTGCCACACACACAGACCCAGAAGTACTTGTACTGTATATCATTATTTTCGATGTCTTTACTGTATAATCAGTGTAACAGATGAACAGATCGCCACTGGGCTTTCATCTAAACACGCCATGTAATGATAACAAACAAAGGTCAGGGGTCATTGGTCAAGCAACACACCAATCAGAGAGCAGCAGTGAGCACACCTCAGGCTGTGTTTTATATTTGTATTCTTTATTTCTGATGTATTTCACACAAAAAACCTTTAGTGGAAACGTTTTCACTTATATGATTAAAAAAAACGGTAAAGTGGCAAGGCTTGCCCACCCTGCGTTGGGGGGGCACAGTGACTAATTTGGGGGGGGCATGGCCCGCGAATGGCCCGCGAATGACCC